AAATTCTTTGTCATTACTAAGGAATAACGAAGTCTTGGGTGCACTAAGACTGAGAGAAATTATTGCTACTTCTAAATTTACATCTCCTTAATATCAGTGAAGACTAGAATATTCTTTCAATACATACTGTATAGTACTACTTCGCGAGAGCATACATCACGTTACAGTAATCACTCAAATCATTATAAAGACAGATGCACACCATCTATTTTTGACCCTGAGGAGGCTAGTTCCACAAGGTTAGGTGTATAATGTAATAAACTCCCATACTACATTAATCAATCTATGAGAGCATATGTAAACAAAGAAGCATATAAAGCACCAACATTGTTTTGAGCGGATGGCAAACAAGATAAAAGAGCGCATAACCATTGTCGCAAACTCATAACACTTTTGGCTGCCATGTTCATGAGGCTCGTTGAATCTTCAAAATGAAACTTTTTAAGACATTCTTAAATGTCATAGTTATGGAATTTTACTAAATATTTTTTTTTCCACTGCCACAGCCCAAGGAGAGGGGAGGGTGAGGTTCTAATGAGTTGCGAGGTCTGCCCCCTACAACTGCTAGCATGTTTTGGCAAGATGCACACACAGTTACTTTAAAAAAATTACATGTGGCTAAGTAGTAACCTTCATGGATGTTATGTTGAATAAAAATAAATTACATCTCCCTGACAAAACATTATAATAAATATCATACTACAGTACATCAGTAGTCTACTAGCTTACGGTATGTCCTATGCATAACCGAATTAAAACAATAACCAATAGGAAATGCTTGCGGCAGGGAGAAATGCTGTAGACTGATTTATCACTGTCATTCACATGTTACCTGTTCTTATAATAAACATAATTTGCCAACTTCCTTGGTATCTTTTTATTGCAAATTACATGTTAATAATTTGATGCTAATGTAAATACTGTACTCTGTAGAATAAAATACATCCCTTATTTATTGGGTCATGAAAGTTTCCCCATAATAAAAGGACACCATAATGTGACTTCAGTCCATCCCCCTATCACCCTTTGATTATGTGAGAGCTGCATAAAAGAAAATAATAATAATAAATATAAATAATAATAAAAACAATAATAATCAAAATAAATAAATAAAATAATTATGTACACTGTATATTGCTTGAACCTGTAGCACAAGCTGGGAATACCACCCTAATGTGCTGTAACACATTCTAAGCTTATTTATGTTTTGCTCTATGTATTTAAATCCTTGCTTAAAACGTACTGTGTTGTAACTGCACAAGTAACTCCTTAAACCTTTCCCTTAGACCCCAAACACCCTGCTCAACCCCCATAGCCTGCCACCTGTTCACACACCGGCCCCCCTCTCCCTCATGAATACTTTGGTGTCAAGAGTCAATACTTTCGGAGTTCACACCTAAAAACAAGGGTGGATTGACAAAACTTAAGTATACCAGGCGGAAAAATCCCCAATTGTACATCTGATTAATTTGTCTGCAATTACGTAGTAGCAAAAACGTACACAAGAGATGCCTTAGCATTTGCAGTAATTACAAGATGGAAAGTTGAAGAGGTAAATAATAGTAATAATTGTAGTGCTTGAAAGACAATCATAAGATTGATTCCATGGGAGAGGGAGTTCCTAGTAGTGCTGGAGCATGCATGCCATTAAAGAAGACAGTGAGAAAAAATCCTTCCTTTGTACTACAGTACAGTACAGTACTTTGTAGTAATGGGCTTTAAAGTGGTACTTTAAAATAGCTATAAAAGTATTCTGTAAATGGTTATACTGCAATTGGTTTAATTTTGAGCCTTAGGAAACACTCCCTGGAAAATCCTGACTTATTTTCCCCTCATTTAGTCTGGTTTAAAGAGGGGTTTACTTTACAGCCTGCTCATTTGGTTTTAGCCATATGAAACTGATTGTTGCACTTTAGAATTTGATTCAGGTTACCACTAAACAATATTATTCAGCTTAGGGAACTTTCAGGATCCACAGGCTTAAAATCTATCTCAGTTAATCCTTTCATACTGTTTGTTGTATGATTGAATTTTATTCAGGTTGGGGATACCTCCAGGAGCCAAAAGGCTAGAAATAAAATAAATACAAGAGACAAATATATACAGGTAATACAGGATACTGTAATCAAAATGCAGTTTAAAACTGGGATTGTTATTTCTTTAACAAATTAAAATTAAGTGTTTTGAATAACAGGAAAAATAGACTACCAACTTTGCAAAGTAGATGGTAATTTAGCCACTGGCCATTGAAAAATGAGAATACTATATATTATCCTGTAAATATGAAGGGGTACGCTTATGCATAAAACAAATACATAACCATTTTATTTCAAGAAAATGTTCACTGAACTTCATCTTTACACAGCTAACAATTACACTGTACAGTATGTCTCTCTTTACATATTTTACCCACTTGCATGAATATAATGCCAAGTAATTCATATTTCCAACACAGGAAGTTTCATATTCACATTTCCATGGCTTAAAAAGGTTTATACTTTAAATTGTATACAGTGGTCCCTCAGTTAACTAACGGTTCGGTTAACGAATTACCTTCCATGAGAATCTTCAATTCGGTTAACAAACAAAAATTTGATAAACGAAATCCTTACGAAAATCACGTTTTGTTGTGAGCATCAGCTGATCAGCTGATGGGCTAGTCTGCCAATTCAGTAATCTGTTCTATGTTTACATTCGTTTCCAATGGAGTAAATATCATTAAGTTGTGGTCTTTAATATTTTTGCATGTTTTATATTAAAATTATTAGTCATTTTAACATATATTTAACATAGTTTGTTGTGCTCCCATCAGATGCGTGAGTCGGTCACAAGGCGTCAATTGGGCTTTGAAAACAGTGGGGAGATCATCTATTTTGTTGGCGTCTTGAATATTTTTGCATTTTTCATTGAAATTATTGGTCATTCTAAAATTTAGTTAACATACTGATAATATATAGTGCAGTGCAGTGTTGATTTAAATAAATTAATCTTGAATTACACTTAGTGAACTTAAAATTTTATTGGTGAAAATACTGCATCAAGCATGGGTCCCTGAAGGTGATTTCTCCTCCATCCCCACTTCCTTCTTTTCTCCCTTCTCCTCCACCCCCACTTCTAATCCCCATCATCATCATCAACCAGGAACCTTCTACATACACACCTCAAAGTAAGTGTACTTTAATGCATTTTTTTTTACTTTGTATATGTACTTTTTGGGGAGCTGGAACCAATTACTCAATATCCCATTGAAACAATGGATTCGGTTAACGAACGACCTTCTGGAACGAATTGTGTTCGTTAACCGTGGGACCACTGTATTTACATCTCCTCAATGCAATGTCTTAAAATCCATTAAATATATAACAGGCAAAGTTGTGAATTTATGTATAAACAAGTTCAAAAGTAGTAGTGTTTGACTTTCAATTAATGAGAGAGTGCAATGTCTGAGAAATAATTGAGAATATCATCAATTGAAAACTCAAGATTGATCATGGCCCCTGGATAGCAGCGGTGTATTAGATCTTCTATCAGCTTATATTGCCGGATAAACTCCTCTTGCATGGCACGCCACACAACCTACAAAATAAAATTAAGACTATAATTTTTAAAAAGTTAAGGACAATTGTTACATATATCCACTGATTCTGTGATACACAAATACTGTATAATAGTGTATGAACAGTAAATGAACTTGAAAAAATCTAAAACCCTGACCAAATAAATGTTTTGTAATTTGCATACAAGTTTAACTTACCATACTTTGGTAATTTCTTTCTTCACAGCTCTATGTGTCTCATATTTATTCTGTACTCTTGATAATTCTTAGATTACTTTAAAAAAATTCCTAATATGTTGGCACTGTTTTCTGCATCAAAATATTGTTTATGTAAAACATTTAATATTTACTTATGTAAACAGCAAAAAAATTCTTGACACCACAAATGTTTTATATGAGCACGTACTGTACCAGTGTATTTCCTCACTGATGCATATACTGACTAATTAATACTTGTGTAAAAGGGATGAACAATTCTTTAAACATCACATATTTTATAAAAGAACATATTAAAAGTTGCCTGAAATAAGAGCTTGAAACGGTGAGTGTCTGATAAGAAACCATAATGGGACATGCCTGGAGTAAGTTGCCTTCCTCGGACAGATGCTTCTCTACCTTCTTGTATAACTGGTCCAAGCCTCGCTTCACCTCTTTTCCAGGATATTCTCTAATGAATTGGAAAAAGTAGTCACTTAATTATACTAATACTAGTGCAGTTTCTCAGTGGTTTTTCTCTGGCAGAAGAAAAAACTGCATTATTTTAGCAAATTGTCATCACTACAAATAATTTTGTTTAAAAAAATCTGGGTTTTACTTGTAAATCAAAGCATAAGACAAAATGTAATTTCTCGCAAGTGTAATCTTTTGTAAATCAAACTTTTGTACATACAATAAAAAAAACAATTTGGTGAGAACTGAAGTGGGAGGCTTTTCAGCATGATATAGATACTCCTGTACTATGGACCAATATGTTATGTGAAAAAGAAAAAAAAATTGGTGTGAAAAGTGTTTGTTTTACTGTAGAATAATATGCTATGTAGAAGTATTTACAAAGTAATGTGTAGAAATGTTTCAATACTCTTTGGTGCTTATATGATGGCTCTTAGTCTTTATCAGAATTGTTTGCATAAAATCACCATATAAAACTCACTTGATAACTTTCCGTAGTTCCTGTTTACTGAAAGCTAATTGATAGCCAACTTCTGACTCCTTGACTCCGCTGGCAACTTTATTTGTCACACCATCAAAAAATTGCTGCAGGCAATGTGAAAAGTTGTCTGTTAGTACAGTACTTCTATTAACTAGTGATAAACATTTGCTTCATAAACTAAATATTTGTTTAAAAAATATTAACACCTTTATGAAAACTAGCTCGGTCTAACAATACAGGTGCTCCTCTACCTGTACTTACGAATGAGTTACATTCCTGAGGCTAGTTCGTTAATCCAGTTGTTCATAAGTCCAACTTTACTCGTGTAGATACAACATTGTAAAAAATAAAAAGATAAGGTCTATACAGTGCGGCTATACCCTACAGTACAGCCTTAAAACCTGACAGACACTTCTCCTTTTCGACAATGTATGTTCAATCTGGTATTTTCTTCAGTATAATCAAGTCTCATCCACATTAAGCACCTGCTCTGTCAGGTAACCCCCCCGCCCCCAATGATGCTGTTCATATCTCCAAATTTGTAAGTCGAATGTTCATAAGTAGAAGAGCACCTGTACTACACTGGCAAGATAACTTTCAAACATACATTGAGCTTCTCAAGGGGTCTGCCAAAATACTGTGTGACGTAAGCACTGAGAGCCTCTTGATACCGCTGTTTAGCCTCCTTCTTCTGTGTGTCCATTCCTGGAAGCTTGAGTTGGAACATCAGCTGGTGCAGGACATGATAATTCTCTGGTAAAAAAGAGATAACTTAACACATTCCTGAAGACAACATTTTACTTTAAACTCTATATAAATTTGTATTTTCACAGTACGTATTGTATAATGTAAAACAGCACTATTTCTTCCTTCTTACTTACTGCTGTTTTTTGCTATGTAAAACAAAGTACAGTATCATGAACAATCTTACCAAGTACAGTGATATCTCCGTGAGCCGGAACAATTGGTGCAGAGCACTTCCGGGAATGAGAGATTTCTGGGAAACGAGACCACTCTCCCAAAGCCGGAAAAATATCCCTCATCCCCAGAATTTTCCGGGTATCAGGAAAAATTTTTCAGAATGTTCCAGAAAATGTGCCCCTCGGAAAATCATTCCCAAAGCTGTAATTTTCCGGAAAATTCTGGCATTGGGAACGATTTTCTGATAAAATTTCAATTCCAGCTATCGGAGAGTTCCGGGTTTGAGGGATTTAGGCTAATGGAGATATTACTGTACCTGTATAGGTATTTCCTGATTTACCAAAGGGTTCCATTCCTGAAATTTTTCATAAATTGGGAAAAATTGCAATTAAATTTCTATCTTCATGAGCAACTCGTGTGGAAGTAAATAAGGCATTATGCTGCTACCTAGGTATCACACCACCACCACTCTGGGCCAATAGCTGAACAGGTATCCTTCACTTAATGAATGGGTTAAGCTCCTGGAAAACCACTCGTTAAGTGAATTTCCGTAACTCAAATAACAGAACAAATGGGAAAAATAGGGTTCAGTTCCCAATAACAAAAAAACAATATTATACCACAAAACCATGAAGTTTGATCATGAAAAAAAACTACCTTTAGTAACTAATGAAAAATAGTACCCATCTACTGTAATTTACTACCTAACACATTAAAAACATTAATAAAATACTATCTACATGAAAATACAGAATGCACCTAAAACCATTAAGGAAAAGCTAAATGAAAGATTAACCCAACCTCTATTTGCATAAGACGCAGCCGTGTGGCCTCAAAACTCGACATATCAATTCAGCCCAGAAGGGGCACTGCCTTGCTTCCCCCCTCCAGCTCTCCCGCTCAGCGTGTTAACTTTTGCACACAAAGAAGTGTTTATTCCCTTTATATTTTTTTACCTTATGATAGTCATTTCTTTTACTTGTTGCACATTACATATGTGCATGTAAAAGAAAAAATGAAGTTTATCTACCCAAAATTACGAGTTGAATAAAAACCATAACGTAGCTCTCCTACACAGTTTCCTATATTCTAGAGTCTAGACTGATGCTCATATTAAACAGAGTTGGATTTAAGACCATAGTTTAACTGATTGGGACATCCAGATACTGTATAGCTAAATCCAAATAATGATGTTCAAAACAGGTTTTTTTTTTTTTTACTGGTAATATCCCACCTGGGCACAGGTCATCGACCCACAATGGGGTCTAAGGGGCGAAAATATAAGAGTAAAAAAAAAATATAAAATAGAACATTTAATTTAGGTTTTTCTATCATAGCATACTATAAAATAAAGGGTCAATTTCCTATATACAGTACAGAATAAGTCTAAAAGATAAGACACTTCTCTATGTATGATAACTAGCCCTGTGTGGTAGTTATTTTGCCAGACACATTTGCAGTGACTTACATGTGTAGTTTCTATGTCTTAAGTTCATCTTGTAAAGGATTCAGTTGACTCACCCATTTTTATCACTTCTGGAGGAGTTCTCTGGTGTTCACTGGCTACCCTTGGTATGTACTCAAACATTGCCAAGACAAGTCGAACATACCACTTGTCTAGGTCTGCCCGACGTTCACTTTTCTTGAACACACTTTCTGCTGTTTTTGCAAATTCCTGCAAATTTTATTGTTACTCAGTTTCCAATATAAAATGAAAATTAGTACAGTATACTGTACAGGTACACAACATACAGAATACACACATGATCACATAAATACATGTGTATTCATTCTTACTATTACTTTGTAAGTGCAGTTGCCTATAAGTATATGTACACACCTATGTTTCTTGTGTTGGTTTAGGGTGGAACTTTTAAACCATAATTTCACCATGATCTGCAATTTAGCTTTATGCATTTGAAAACGTTATTCAAGAGGCTCGTAAACAAAGTGATATATCTTTTGTTTGTATAATAAGTGTCATGGTGCCTAGGGTTTAATGAAATTTTACATTCAATCATTTTAATAATACAGAATGCCCAAAAAATTGCATAATTTTACCTGTAAATACTAAATGAAAAATCAAATTAAATGAAATATCTATTCTTCTGGATGATACAGATTGCATCATTGGACAGTCTACAGATGAGAATTGGACCGGATGAGCAGCCAACAAGAGATATTATTTCACCCTTCTTTGAGGACTCTGTACTCCCTGATTGTGGGACAGAACAACTGAGAGATACGGGTAAATGTATGTAACTTTCCTCACCTCAAAATTTATAATAAATGGAATGATGCCACACTTCTTCCTTGCAACACGACATTCTTGGATAGACTGAAGCTGAGAATTCATGAAGCGATCGAAATTGCGTTTTGCTTGCACCAAACATGATCCAAATGTAGTACACAGGAAGGAACCAGTGTCTTCGGCAGTTAGTACATGCTCACTCAGACGTACATATATGTACAGACAACAACTGAAATGCAATCTTACATTAAAACATACAGTATTCCAATATTTAAAAAATAAACTAAAATTAAAATAGGAAACTGATTAGAAAATTCATTTTTTACCATCTTACAACCCGTTTCCGGCTATAAAGCAGGATAGCAAGGAAGGAGTTCATCCCTGATTCTTGGCAATAGCAGCAAATGGCTTACCTCATTCTTTAGAATATACAGTATACTAAATTTTATGAATTAGCATGGTCATATATACAGTATTTATAAATAAGGAACAAGTTGTTCAATACTGGTTAAAAGTGCATCTTTAGAATCATAAATTAACTTACTAAGAGTCAGCACGGTCATAAGTATTTATGAATGAAGCAAGCTGCTGCTCAAGAGTGGTGAAAAGTGCAGCCATCATTGACCGCACTTCTCTATTGAATGGCCGTCCATGCCCTGACCCTGGTGTTCCTATAAGCCCTGCACCAGATGAGGTTCCTGCAGACCCACTGCTCTCTTCACTTCCACTAGAGCCTGGGGTGCTGGCAACTGAAGATGGTGCTTTCTGTATCACAGGTTACAAAAACATTTTATTTATATCATCTTTTTCTTACTACAGTAATTTTTTTTAAATGTCGATAAGCAAATATGACAATATAAATATTTTTAACATGTACAGTATAAGTATTTCATGTCAAATACTGGTACAGTATATAAAAAACATGCATATCATAGTCATACAATAATAAAAAAAAATTGCAATTGTGTGTAAATGAGGCAGAAAGTCAGATCAGCAACCTGGGACTTGGTCACAATTTTTGTGATGCCATATGGCAGCAGGGTCTACCATTAGACAACACATTATGCTTCCAATACCTTCTCAGGCGGTAGTACCTCCCTGTTTGATAGCTGCCTATTGCCTATCATAAATGTAATGCCTCTTCACTATCTGTGATAAGAACAGTGTCATTTGCAAAGTGAATATTTGATATTACTTTATCATTCACTTTTAGTCCTTCATTTTCACGGTCTAAATGTAATGGGAGAGTGTTTGTCCATGGGAGATGAGACGATGAGATGCACAGTTTAAACTCTCTGAAACTTTTCCTAGTACGTACCTGGAAAAAATCCGGGATGTGAGATTTTTTCCATGTTTGAGAGAGTCGTTTTGTTACCTGGAAATTACTCATCCAGGGAAGACCGTTGCTCCAATTTTTCTGACTAATGGGGATATCACTGTACTCATGGCAGGAAAAGTTGAAGTGTGTTTTTCCGACTATTTTTCTCATATTTTTAATTGATTTAACCGAGTACTGTATACACAGAAGTACAGGAAAAAAGCAACACTTACCTCATTACCTGTAGCATTTAGGTTGAAGAAGGCAATGCAGAATTCTTGCTCAGAAAGACAAACTGGTTGCAGTTCACTTAGCACACGCTCAAAGATCTCATCAAACTTTTGTCTCTCTTGCATGTCAAGCTGAACCCATAGAAAATCACATTCCATATAAATTCCAGAATTTCCTGCTTGGGAAAAAGTACTATAGGTATTAATTTTTTTTATAAACAGATGTTAACTGAGCTATTTAACTAAACTCTGTACCGTATATCACGGCCTATAAGACGAAATTTGAACATTAAAAAAATCTGCCCAAAGTTAGGGGGTCGTCTAAACCACCAAGTTTAAAATTCTTACCTCTTAAATATTGTGGTTTAGTGTGTCAAGAGTGGTGATGAAAACATCGTAAGCCACTCACAAGGTCTTACCACTAATTATTTTATACTGAAACTTACGTTTGGCAAGCTGGATTCAAATTAAGATTACCGGTATATTAAAATAATAAAAATGTATTATAAACCTGTCTAACATACCGTAAAAGAGATTTATACCCCTATAATAAACACAGCTATCATCACACACCCCTCCCCATTTGCCAGTGAGGAGCCGTGGAGGTGGTCAGTAATGCATACCGGTATCGGTATATTTACTCATAATAATATTTATCTCCTATAAATAATTGATTTAAATTTTATTTTTTTCCAAAGAATATTCAGTAAATGAGTGCATTAATTCTTGAAACTATCGACGGTTAATTACAGACGCTCAAGTGACGTCACTAGTGTTTACACTACACCAGCTGGTAATATTTGATGCCATTACTTGAAGTGAATTGGCCTTATTTTAAGTAACTAACTATAAATAAATACAAAAATTAAAAAAAAAGATCAAAACTGAGAAATAATATACTGTATGTATGTTGTGTTGTCAAAGTAAGAGGAACAATTGTGTAAGTACGTAATATTTTTTCACTCAAATCCTAATGAAACACTACTGGAGAACATTCCTTTGTCGCAAAACAGTTTATAAATTAAAGAAAATAATTACAGTGTGTTTAATATATTACAGTATATTATAAATAAATAAATAAAACAAATAATTCGGTAAATCTATTTAAAGTAAATGGAAAATAAGCAAACATGTTATTTACCAAGACCCTTCCGTCTGGCTCAGGGTGAGATGTAGGGGAGATAAAGAAGGCTATTTATAGCCCATCAGAAGTGACCAGTACCCTAATGCACCATAAATAATTCATTGAACATTCATTTTTTGTACATAGTATATTCAGTATATATATATATATATATATATATATATATATATATATATATATATATATATATATATATATATATATATATATATATATATATATATATATATATATATATATATATATATATATATATATATATATATATATATATATATTTGTGTAATAAATGTATGTAGTAAGTACATACTGGTAACCTTTTTCACTCAAATCCTAATGAAACACCACAATTAGAATACGGTGGTTGCTGTTGAACCACATGTTGTATAAATAGTCACACCACCGAGACGAGGGAACACTCCCACCACGCTTCAGTGACGTCACTAGTGTTTACACTACACCAGCGGGTATAATTTGATGACATTACTTGAAGTGAATTGGCCTTATTTTAAAAAATCAAGGATGGTTGGTAAAGGACTACTGAGTCAGTGGGTAAGTGTCACATTTGGGGTACTGGTCTTATACAGCAAATAGAGCTCAAAAGCTACTTTTTAAATGGAAATTTGGGGGGGGCGTCTTATGCACCCCGCCGCCTTATAGGCCGTGATATACGGTACGCAGTTTTACACACAAAAAGTAAGGTCATGCATTTACAACAGACCTAAAGCATCTCTTTCCCTGTCCTTAACTGTCATTGTTGAAGATAAAATATGTATTATTTGCAGAGTAAAATGTAGATAAACTGCAGGGGTGAAATACAAATACAGTACCTCTGAGCCCCATTGGTCACGGTCAACACCTAGCAGTGCCCCAGTGTTGGTGCGTGTTCCCAGTGTCTGTGCTCCATGCTTTATTTGGGATGTCAATTTTCCTGCCACACCTGACATGCTAGCAATATCCTGACTTGATCCACTTCCACGTACTGCAAAAGATAGACACCGGTAAAATCATATCATTCTGATTACATTCACACAAATTTGAACATCCTATTTAGTAGACCCTCATTGTTGTGTGATTCGATACTGCTCTTTCGATATAGTACTGTGGCAGCCCAAATCACTCCCACTTTTTCTTATTGCACAATCAAACTCCATTATTTTGCTGTGTAAGCCCAGAAAAATTTAAATACAATAAATAGACGATGTTCATCACTGGACAACAAATGTTTGCACTGTACAGTAAAGGGTATTTATAATGAGAATAAAAATTTCATTTAACTGTACCCACCAATACTATGAGCATAAAGAGAAAGGAAATTAAAACTAATGCATCTGGTGCTACTGAGAAGAGATGGCATGCTACTATTTCTGATGAGAAAATTACAATATCGAGTACATCCCCTTCAGAATTCCAAGACGTGCAATTACAGTAAAAGTCCGAAAATCCGGATGCCAGAAAACCGGACCACCCGAGAATCCGGACTTTTCGAAAACTCAAACTTGTTTTTGTTTTTGTTTTTTTGGGGTTTTTTAGCGGGCGTTTGTGTGTACAGTATTTGAGTATACGTGAGCATCACAGCTACACAGCGACAACAAGCGACCACGCGGTCGCCACTTTAAAACGAGCAATCAAACTGTGACAACGTATGCAATTTTGAGTCCTACTCTTTCCATTTACAGAGTACTGTACAAGCCCATAATAATGGCTCCCAAAATAGATAAACTTTGTTGTGCGAAAAGAAAGAAGAACACGTTGAAATTGAGTGACAAACTTGAAATAATTAAGAAAATAGAACGTGGTGTGAACAATACTGTTCTTATGGAAACATACGACATTGGAAAGTCTACAATTTATGATAGAAAAAAAGGCAAAGAATAAAATTCTAGAATTCACAGCTTTTTCTTTAAAACTGCTCATTTTGATAAATGAAACATGCTATATTTGCTAATGAATAAACTATCAAAATGTACCTGTTCATCTCTTCTTTATTCCTCCTTAAATTTGAATTTTAAAAGTACTGCCTGAGAATCCGGAAAATCCGGACCGACCCAATCCCCAAGCAGTCCGGATTTTTGGACTTCTACTGTATTTTTCTTCTCAACTGTGACTAGTGTACTCTACAAGTCTAATATGCAAGTGAATACAATATTTAAAGGTAAGAAACAGAGATATCACAATATTCTTACTGAAGAGCTAGCAGGAGGAAAAACTAGCATGTGTTATTGGTAAGGAATCAAATAAAAATAGGGTAAGAATGTCCTGGAATGTAGCTCAGCCATTTTTTACCTTTTAATGTATTTATTATTTCCCCCATTATCAGTTCACTGGCCATTTGGGCAGTTGGTTTGTTCTTTGTTACTTTATTATGACCTTTATAGTCTATTGTTGGTACAGGAGGAAACCACAGTACCCAGGGAAAACCCATGATGTTTGGTTGAGTCACACTGGATAGCATCCTTCTCGAATCTGTCCTGGTTGTTCTGCTTTTTAAAAACACCTTAATATATTTATTTTCAGATTTAAATTAACAGTAACACTTTTCACCATTGATTGGATGGCTAGTAACTGAGCGGTCAGTCATTTATCTGTAACACATTAGATTTAAACCATAATACTGAACATTATTACATACACTAACAAAATATCAAATGAGATCAAATCAAATTGACCATCAATTGAAAATAGGTCACAGCATTTATCTTAGATACTGTACTGAAATTATAAGGAGAGATTAAGAATATACCAGTAGTTTTGAACAAGTAAACAATCTAGTGACAATACAGTACAGTACTTTAATAAACTGTGCCCCACTAATAACTCAAACTCACATCTCCTTCCACCAGAGATGCGTTGTCTTGCTTCCTCAAAGAACAGTCTTATATCACGTTCATAAAGCTTGCTGATGGAGGTAGCATAGGTTTTGTTTAGATGTTGATATGCACGGTGATCAAGAGCTCGAATCCAGTGCATGAGTGGGGTGTAAGGAAGCAGCTCAGTGTGGATACTTCCATGGCGAGGCAGTGTAAGCTGCTCAGCATGTAAGCTCAATGTTTCTCCTGGATCATTGCCCTTTAATTGAAATACATGAGCATTACATTAAATGGCTAATTACATTAACATTATGTTTTAAGGTAATATAAAGTAAATTTGAATTTATTAGACAAACCTACTCATGTTGGTGAGTTATACAGTATATCAATACATTATATTAATACAGTAATCATATCTAACTCACCAAATGAATGAAGAGATTATTTAGATGTCTTGATACAATTTGACTGAATCTGCCTCTCAACTTATCAAATCTCTTCTTTTCATCTTGAACTGCCTGAAAAGAAATATACAATAAAAATGACCTATGATGTCGAATAATGAAGTGCAATTAAGTGAAGTAACTCAACAAACCTGTAAACTAAACATAAACAAAGAATTATTTCTGTATTATATCTACAATATTCATATTTCTTTCTCTAAATCAGCTCAATCTTCCCTATAGTACACTCACAATACCTCATACAGTATAATGGTTGGATTCTTGTTCTTACATTTTAAATACCTGTACGTCATTTACCTTTTCATATGATCAATGAATACCTGTACTCTTCACCAAAAAAGAACTTGTACTTTCAGCAGCTTCTTTTACTGTTTTGGGTAATGCAGCTAATAAAAAACAAATTATATACTGGATACATGGAAACATGGAAACTTCTCTGAGTAAAGAGCTTGATATCTAAAGAAAACTTAAAGAATTATCTGTTGAAGAGATGCATATTAAAATGATTCACCTCTTAACCAAAAGATATTAGCTATTGAGTTCATGTAGAAATGGGTCGGAATGACTGCATCTTTCTGCTTTAAAACAGCTTGTCTAAGTTAAAAAAATTCCAATAGCATCGGCCCTACAATCAACCTGGGCAAGAAATTCTAACAGAAAGTAACGAAAACAACTGTGTAAGTCAGAGCTTTCTTGTATACATTACCTAAATGGCTTGCCAAAATAAAATGAAAGGTAAAACTGTTTGAGCCAACAAATTATCAAGCTGTGAATTCATCCTGCAACACTGGTAATATAAGCTGGAAATAAACAAATACTGTATTACCTGTTTAACACTAAGCCCTTTAAAGGGCAAAGTATCCCTTAGGGATTTTATGCTTGGTGTAAGAGGACATCAGCTAAGTCTCTCTCACTCAAGGGGATAAAGAAGACTTACTGGTATGTCACTAAATTAAGTAAAGAACTGTACACTGAAATAATCATTTGAATCACCTGTAACTGTGAAAGCTGTGAAGAAATTGGAGCATTGATGACCAACTGCAAGGCAGCTGCAGCCTGAATTGCCTGTGGAAGCATGCCAGCCTTGTTGAGGTCTGGCTCATACAAGTCTTTCACATAGTTTCTTGGCAAATCTAGCTGGTTCTGTAAGGATCAATTACAAAATTCTGTAATAATAAACACCCAAGCACACTAAAACAAACTTGACAGCAACTGTTTTACTTGGTGTCTCATAAAAATACTGCAGTGGTATTTAATGCAAAAATTTTCTGATTTTTTATTTTATTTTATTTATTTTTTCACGGGGATTAGCCCACCTGGGCACAGGTCACTGACCCACATCGGGGCCTGGGTGGCAAAAATGTAATAATAATAATAATGATAATAATACAGTTAACCCTCACTTTACGCGGTCCCACATTCCGCGTTTCCACGTTTACGCGGTGCCCTGCCAGAACCCAGGATGCTCACATTCCGCGGTGCGTGTACCCCTTTACGCGGGGAGGGGCTGGCGAGCCGCGCCATTTTTGGATCCAAACCTCCCGCCATCCGCCATGTTGTGTAAGCTGCGCGAACGTGGTGCGCACAAGGTCGCCCAGTCATCAAAACATTACCAGTTCTTCACCCGCCACCCACCACAGCCGGCCCAAGTCAGTGATAGTGATAATTATGGTGAGGATATGGACTTATATGGACTTTGGGGAGTTTGACAAAGAGGCCCTGCAAGCCTCTGTGGTGGATAGTGATACAATTGATACAAGTGACACAGGTGAGGGCCAATAATCTGCCCTCTGCCTCGGAACCAACCGCCCATCCCCGTGTGCCCAGCCATTTTTTCTACTAATGTAAGTGTTAAAAAACCTAATATTATTGATATTTCTCTTAATTATTAATTGTGTGTGCATACCATCATAAAGTTAAGATAATATTTTTACTACAACATAGTTGTGTGTCAAAAAGTGGAGTTTGGGGATCGGCCCGGACTCCATTTCAATTAATCCCATATGTTATGTTATTCACTTTACGCGTTTCTCACTTTACGCGGGACCCTCCGGGTTACATTAACCGCGTAAAGTGAGGGTTAACTGTAATAATAATAATAATAATAATAATAATAATAATAATAATAATAATAAAAATAATAAAAAATAATAATAATAATAATAATAATAATAATAAAAATAATAAAAAAAATAATAATAATAATAATAATAATAATAATAATAATAATAATAATGATAATAATAATAATAATAATAATAATAATAATAATTCAAAGTAAATAAAATTTATAATAAAAAATACAAAATTTAAAATAAAATAATAAATTAATAATGATAATGATAATAATAATAATAACACTAATAATAATAATAATAATAATAATAATAAAGGAATAAAAAAATGAAAAAAAGATCAAAGTGAGAAACAATATGCAGTATATATGTTGTGTTGTCCATAGTAAGAGAAACAATTGAGACCCTGCAATTGTGTATAAATGAAGTAGAAAGTCAGATCAACAGTCTGGGACCTGATCACAATTATTGTGATGCCATATGGCAGCAGGGTCTACCATTAATTTCAAGATTAGGTATTCAAGTAAGGTATTCCTTACAAATAAGTCTGAGGTATTAAAGTACTGTACTGTCCATCATATTCCTGAGAATGCCACACCTAAAAACTGAATTTTACATAAAAATGTCACTTTGGCATCTATAATCTTTCATTCATAACTCACCATTTTTCTCATACAGAATTTTTTTGTATTAATTTGGAGAAAAGTGTGCTTCCTTTGAAACATAAATGGCATACGTACTGTATATATTTCAAAGATAAAGTTAAAATCATAAATACAGTAAATATAGCATCTCACTGCCAGAGGAACACTTGAGACCATTCTGTTAAACTGTAGCACCTGAAACAAGTACAGTACAGTATCACTTTGGACTTCTAGTTTTTCTCATGTAAACTTATTATTGATCTTCAGAGTTAAGTCATTAACAATCAAAACTTCACACATAACCAGTACCTAAATTGAAAACCCTGTATCTGTATATTCATTAAATATTTTCTTGGTGTCAACTGTTTGAAATCTCACTGAAAAGTCATGTCAATACTGTAGAGTACTCATTTTCTCAACTTTTCTTGAGGTTTTCTGTCTCCCTTGATCTATGTAGCACAGATGGGAGTGGAAGAAAGATATGATTCATAGATTATTAGTTATACAAGCTGGAAAAAATATTAGGTAAAGATTATTCATGTCGGCAACTTTTCAAAAAAGGGGGAAAGTGAACTTGATGGAGTTTATTTTCACAAATCTATAAAGAACTTCCACAAAAATTATTTCACGAGTGAGTGATCATACAATCTCAAAATTAGTGAATCTAATAATTAGCAACCAAACTTACAATCAACCTATCAAGTTCTTCAAGTAACTTAGAGTTATTTGCATTTGTTTGTTCAATGGATGTATTCTTGTCTGCCATTTTCTCAATAGAGTCTTTCACATGTAACAAGATCTCATCATAGGAATCTAGTCGGGTTTCAATTTTTTCTGCTTCTGTATAAGCTGAATCAATCATCACCATCAAGGCCTCAACTTGAGCTTCTGAAGCCATCATACTGTGGATGTTAGCCTGAAAATATTTGCAGCAGTTAATTAGGATTGTACTGACGGAGTAGATACATGCAGAGTACAGTACATACTGTATGGCACAATATCATGCGAAGTTAGAGCATTTTGTGATATGCTGGATGCAATTGACTAAGATTTTTGTTGCTTAAAAATTAAGTTGTTTTGGGGGTCCTTAAAAAAGTCAGGATTTTTGAGTTCTGGTTTCTTAATTCCTGGATATTAATGAATTATTGTAATATTTTTAGCTTAAACCAAAGCTTTATGTGGTAGTCAACCTGAGCTATCTCATAAAATTGTTCAAGAAAAAGTAATTATGCAAGAGGCAAAAAATTTCACTATAAAAATGCTGTCATTTAATTTGTGAAACTTGTTCCACTGATAAAGAAAAGTTAAAGGGATTTTATGTATAAAATGAATACAGTATTCCTAAATTCATCAATTTTAGAGTAATACTGCATGACTTTTACTCCAAAAAGATAAAATTCTAATCAGTAGTTCAGTAGGTTTTATTCTATGGGTGAAAAAAATAATACTATCGTATACTTATCACTTACACCATCAAGGACAGAGAGGTCACGTGACAGTTGTTCAGCAAAGGCCTCAGCATTGCTGACTGCAGAGTCACACTGTTCCATAAGTCTTTCCAAATCCATCTGTTCTTTCTCTGAAAGTGCTCGATAATCCCCATCATCTTCAAGAGCAGCATCCACATTGTCAAGTGCTGAAAAACAATGTGCAGTAATACATGAATAATGTAAAAATTAGGTTTGAAAAATAATGATGATCATATTACTTCACTTACATGTGTATCTAACAGTCATTATTCATTACAATTTCCACTAAATCAAAGCAGGATTCTCCCTAAAAAAATAAACAATGCCATCACATCATTTTTTTTCTTTGTCCTATCTCATATCTGACAACTCACTCCCCACGGTGTTCCTCTCTGAAAGGACAGCAAAAACAGGACCCATTACCTGTGCTCTCACCATACATGGAATGTTTTTTGTCCCTCCTGTCTCCCTGTTTCCCATTTCTCTTCAATATACTGCTCAATCTTACCATATCAAAATGCTATGAGCATCAACACATCATCATTGCCATTCTGTCTTCGAACTTTTGGGTGGTCCATGTATAACCATCTTTAAATGATTTGCATGTACAGGAGGTCCCCGGGTTACGAATGGATTACGTTCCTGAGGACGTTTATAAGTCAGATTTGTACACACCTCGTAGCACATGCTATATGCATATCGTACTTACAAAACAATATTTAAAATCCCACTACAGTGGACCATCCATTAACGTGAGGTTTAATCTACGAGATTTCAGTTAATGAGTTACCTCCTGTAAGGACTTTCAGTTCTATTAACGACAGCCTTACGAGAAACACATTTTGGTGAGCGCATCAGCTGATCGACTTGTCCGCCAATAATTTGTTCTCTGTTTAGCTTTGTTTCCAGTGGAGTACTGTATATGGCGGCGTATAAGTCGACCTGGTGTTTGAGTCGCCATATACGGTAAACTTCGAGAAAGTTATGCTCTTGAATATTTGTGCATTTTTCCATTAAAATTATTGGTCATTCTCAAATTTGGTTAACATATTGATAATATACATTGTGCAGTGTTGATTTAGAAGAAAAAATCTGGAATTAGTTAAATAAACTGTTGTGAACTTAAATGTTATTGGTGAAATTATCAAGCAAGGGTCCGAAGAAATCTCGGAAGGTGATTTCAATTCAAGTGAAACAAGAATTTATTAAGAATCTGTCACTCCAAAGGTTTCTGACAATATTATGGAAGGTAGTTCGCCTTCCAAGAAGCATTAAAATGCTTCTCTTCTCCCTTCTCCTCCTCCTCCACCCCCACTTCCAATTCCCTTCATTGTCCTCCTCCTCCTCCTCCACCTTTCAATTCAACCAGCAACATTCTACATGCACACCTCAAAGAAAGTGTTAAAATATTTTATTGCTTTTTATTTATTATTGTACAGTATACTGTACAGTACTGTATTTTGTTTAGATTTAATGTTTTGTTAATTATATTACCGGTATACAGTACTTTGTATGTACTTTTTAATTAATTTAAAGGGAATTCTGTGACTTGGAACCAATTACCCAATATCCCATTGAAATAATAGATTCAGTTAACGAGTGACTGTGGAACCAATTGTGCCGTGTGGAGGGACCACTACTTACAGTAGGGTGTGTCAATTTTGTCAACATGTTAAAAATCAAATTTGGTAGTCAAAATATTGTGCCTCTTTATGTCTAAACTTGAGATTAGCAAACAAAATGAATTGAAATAACCCTCACCTACATCAATTATACCTTAAAGTTTCAAATATCAGTATTTCAACAAATTAATGAGACTTGATTAGAATTATTCACTTGATATTAACTAATCTCATGTA